CCTAGCCACACGATGAGATCTCAGTCAAAGGTCCAAACTCAATCTAAGGGAGTACATCATGCCACGTCTCATCAGAGGATTTAAAAGTAAAAAGAGAGGGAAGAACCCGACGGTGGCCGGATTCCCTCCGGTCATCTTCTCCGTTCACTATGCATAGTAGCAGGTTCAAAAACCTTCATGAAACTCAAGAATTCTTGCGCTAATCAATTCCTCTCCTTACCTACAACACGATGCCATAATTTTCTTGCCCAAATTCCTCCTAAGTAAGCCTAACCGAATCCCTAAAGTTTCAATGTCATTTCAAGAATTGTCATGATCATGTGCAAAACTTATCCAGAATCAATCTATGAAGTATGGGGATCATAATCATATGAAAATGGCGTGTCAAATCTCCCTGCAAAGTGAGGAAAGTCGAAAGATAAGTTACCTAGTGAAGAGCTTCCACTGAGCCTTTAAACGTGGCGAATTCTTGATGATTTTGATCCAGAAACGATCCTTGATCCTTCCTAGAGTTGTTAGGATGAGCAATTTGGCTTGAATCTTGGTGAAACTGGAAACTCGAATCTCACTTTTCTCTCACTTTTCCCAACTGATTTCTAACTGTTTTTGGCTCCAAATTCTGTTCTGAATGATTGTACATAATCCTCAGATTATATACTTTGGACATGGATGGATAAAAAGCCCAATTGTAGCCTGTACAAGCCCAATGGAAATCCAATTTTTCTTGCTTTGAAACTTCATGAACCGTGCCAAAACAGAGCTAGGAATGCCTTAAGCTATCTTCATTCATGTTGCTTATGCTATGAGTGATCCAATGGTGCAAATTACTTCCTTGCTTTAATCCTATGGTTGAATTTGATTATGTAACTTAAGCTTGAAGTTACATGTGATATGCCATAGTTTTGGATCCCAACTTGTAATTCTGAAAATTCCATTGTGTTTAGAATGTATGTTGCACTTAAAATATGCACAAACTTGGATAAAATTGGTCCCATATGAATTTATTTGATTTTTGTACTTTTAATGCCTTTTCCATGGAAATTTCTTCATCAATCCTTCCATACAAGTCAATTCCATGACACCTTGATGTTTGATTATGCAAATGACCCCGTTTGGAGCAAGTTTTAAGTTGGAAATATTTCCATTTGAGTTGTGCAAAGTGGTGAAATTGACCTATAATGAAAAGTGGCCCATAATCTTAGTTTCCCAAAATACCCCTGCCTTGCAAGCTTCATATCTTGAGCTTCAAAAATCAGCTTGAGGACTTCTAGTACTTTTTAGAAATCTAAGATCATAAGGAAGAACTTTCATGTTTAGGTCAAGATGAGGAGAGACATCCTTCTAGGTCAAAAATGTCTTGGAAATTGGTTGACTTTCATGGACCCAAAATCACATTCATCTGATGGCCTATAACTTGTTTGCTTCATATCCTGAGTTCCAGAAATCCAATGGAGGACTTCTAGTACTCAAAAGAAAGCTAAGAACATGCTATACAAGTCTCATGTTGGAGTCAAGATGAGATGAATACTAAGTTATGTGGTCTTGAAGTTGGGCACTAAATAGGGGATTTTACACTGTCAAGCTTAGAAACCCTAGCTTAGCAACTTCTCACACTCTTTAATATTGATGAATTGATCTTGGAATAATCTCTTATGTGTCTCAACACAACATTCCCTGACCATAGGGACTTAGAATTGAGTCTTAATCTCCTTCAATTACACAGTTGACTTAGGGTTGACCAGGTGAGAACCCTAACTGCACCACCTTTGGATGTGGCTTCTTGCACTTTGAATAATGACTTGCACAAGCTCCTCCATGCCTCTCAAGACATCTCATGAGCTCTCTAAAGGACTCCTAATCATATCCATGGGCTTATAAACTCTTGATGACTTTCATTAACCCCCCTAAATAGGAGGTAGGCAAACTTGTATCCATCCCTTTTCCCAAAGAGCTTTGACTTCTTCATGAAGGCTTGTTGAGGATGATAACTTGGATATAGATTCTTGATTAGCCCTAGAACCTTTGGTAGTCTCTTCTTAATAGGCACATCTCTTGATCCCCTGCACAAATGACAATGCAATGCATATGCTGATGCTACAATGAATGCAATGAAACATAAGCTAGGTAAAGAAAAAAGGTTGGACAAATTTTGGGGTGCAACAAAGAGGATACATGATCAAATAGTACATGGTACAAAACAAAAATATTCCTTCCACTAATCTGAAATTATGGGAGAAGGACTGTACTATTCTTCACACATGTCACTAATCCGTCAGTGGACAACTGCATTTTTGCATATTCTTGATTTACCCTCAAACAGTTCTTTTTTCATGCTATATAAAAAGGATTTGGAGACTTGAAGAAGAAGAGGCAAACTTTACAAGACTGTTTCTACGTGAAAAGCTTTTAACTTTGTGCTTTCTTTTCTTTAAGTGTTTGTATTTCATTTGTGTAAAATCTGCTTGTATAGAAGCAACTTGCAACACAAAATCTTTATTCAAACTTATTGTTTCTGTTTCCTTAAGGGACCAGTTAGGTCAGAATCCTTGATAAGACTTGGATAGTTTATCATTGTGGTTTGTTAGTCACTAACTGTTGCTCGTGCATTTGTAATCAATTGATTATAGTTGATTAAGACCTTGTGTATAAAGCGAAATCATCTTGGTAGATGGACTGGATTAACTTTGATTTTTAAGAGAACTAGGATAAAACTCCTAGTGTCTTTCTCATTTCAATTTGTTGATTGTGTTAAGTTTTTGAGTTGGTTAAAAAACTTTTGTTTTAAAAACCCAATTCAAACCCCTTATTTCTTGTGTTTTTCGCACCTTCATCTAATTGGTATGGAAACAGAGTTGACATAAGAAGTAATTTTGTATATTTCTTCAAGTATTTGGGAGGTCTCATTTCTTGGTGTTCCAAGAAACAACCAGTGGTTGCATTGTTAACCTGTGAAGATGAGTAAATTGTAGGTGCTTTGTCTGCTTGTCAAGGTGTTTGGATTCTAAACTTGTTGCGGGATCTGAATATCAAGGTGAGCAAGCCTGTGAAGTTGATGATTGACAACAAATTAGCTATAAAGCCTTTCCAAGAATCTAGTGTTGCATAGAAGAAGCAAACATATTGGCACAAAGTTTCACTTTCTGAGAAATCAAGTTTATAGTAGAGTGCTTGAAGTTGTTCACTGTAGCACTTAGAAGTAGCTGACAAATGCGCTGACCAAAACAATTAAGACCGAACATTTTACCCATTTGTGAGATGAAATTGATGTTTTTATTAGAATAAGTTTATTGAATTTATTGCATCTGAGACACTCGTTAGCATTTCTCTTTATGTATATCACATTAATAATTCTAAAATAAATTTTTACCTCAAATATTTTAAAAAATGAACAATATAATACTACGTTTGTCCCTAATTATAACACCTGTTGAGTTTTTTTTCTTATCCTTTTTATAAGATTCTTTTCAATTTTCAAAGTGCATTAATTATTCTTTTACACATGTTCCCTTAATTATATTAATTTTTTTTTGAACTATGTAATAAATACAATTTTATATACCTTAACTATTTCTCTCTCTTAAAGATACACTTGTAAAATTATACAAAATAGTCCATAAATAATACTCTAATCAATTTTCTTAATTCTCTTAATTTTTTCAATGAAGTCATATATTTAAGGGTGGAGGTAGTATTTAGTTTCAATAAATTTGTCATTTTAACTTAAAAAAACATTCATATTTAATAATTAACAAAATTTATGTAATTTAACACTTACGAAGGAGAGATAAAAAAATCCATAATTTTTCTTCTTACAAACTATATATTTTTTAATATTATTATTATTATTATTATTATTATTATTATTATTATTATTATTATTATTATATTGATTCACATATTTTTCTTAAAAATAAAAAAATTATTATATGTTGTCAAATATTCTGGCACCAAAAGATTTATTTATATTGATTCACATAATGTCACAAATAAAAACTTAAAATTAACATAAAAGAGATCAAATTCTCACAACTTTGAGAAATCAAAATTTAAATTTTAACTAAAAAAACATTCTTCTTTTCTTCTTTTCTTCTTTTCTTATCAACTAATTTTAGTTTTTTTTTTAAAAATAATTATAAATATATATTATCATTTTTATACAAAAACAAAAAATATTATTATATGCTGTCAAATGGTGGCTCCTCCAAATATTCTTGCACCAGAAGATTTATAGTCTCTCTATTTATATATTATGTATTTGCCTCTCCTCATGTTAGTTACAAATTCCTTTTCTTTTCTCATTTATATTAAGGTAGTGGAATAACCAAAGAAGAAGAAAAGATAGAAAAGCAAGAGAGAGACACACAAACATAGAGGATGATAAACACATCCTCTGTTTTCATTCCAAATTCCCATTGAAAAACTTTTTTTTTTTTGCACATGCCCATCATTTTTTCATCATCTAAATCTTCTTATGGTGAGTTTTTCTCATCTGGGTTGTGGAAATTCTCATCGATCTCTTGTAAAGTTTTGAAATTTTTTATGTTCTGATCTAGTTCCTTGGTTTGTTTTGAGATTAGATATTTTGGTTCGAGTTTTGATTGATGCTGGGAAGATCCGATGCTCTTAGATCGAATTTGACAAAACCCACTTCGTGTTTGATCGAAGCAATAACTGGGTTGTGTCTGAATTTTCAGATAAGGTTTGTTTTTTGACGCAGATTAGATTCCTTCTCATGTGCATTTTCTGATCGGTTTTGCTCTGCTTTTGTTTTTCTAAAGATTTGATTTTTTTTATTGTGGTTGATTGTTGTGCATTTAGATTGATTCCTTATCTTGAATTGTGATTTGTGACCATCATTGATTGATTTAGATGTAGAGTTATTGATCTGTGGTTTGAATTGAAATGAGAATTATGTGTTAAAGTGAGTGTTTGTTGAATCTTGATATTGAATTTAGTGATTGATGGTTTATGGTTGGTGGTGATTGGTGGTAATTGAACAGATGGAATCGGATCTTGGCAAGCTCTTCATTGGAGGAATATCTTGGGACACAGACGAGGAACGTCTCAGGGAGTATTTTGCGACATATGGGGAGGTGATTGAGGCTGTGATCATGCGGGATCGCGCAACGGGACGTGCTCGTGGTTTTGGTTTTGTTGTCTTTGCTGATCCTGCTGTTGCTGAGAGAGTCATTGTCGATAAGCACATAATCGATGGTCGCACTGTGAGTTGCTGTATTTGTATAGATCGATGTATATACCATCGGCATTTTGTCCATATTGTGTGCTTAGTCTAGCAGCAATTGAAACTATAGCTAAACTTATTATTCTAATAGAAATCATTACGTCTTACTCTTTGATTTAATAAAATATCATTATCACTTTTGGTAATACGTGAATTATCGATGTGCATTGGATCAAACATGTCCTTTTTCGGTTTATAATATAAGAAACCGGAAACGTGTTGCAGATTTTGATCTATATCGTATTGAATTTTCAGGTTGAAGCAAAAAAAGCTGTTCCTAGGGATGATCAGAACAATATAAACAGACAGACTGGTAGTGTACAAGGATCGCCTGGTCCCGGACGTACAAAGAAGATTTTTGTTGGAGGCTTACCGTCAACAATCACCGAAAGTGATTTCAAGATGTATTTTGATCAATTTGGTACGATTACCGATGTTGTTGTTATGTATGATCACAATACACAAAGGCCAAGAGGATTTGGCTTCATCACATTTGATTCAGAAGAAGCGGTGGATAGAGTTCTTTATAAAACATTTCACGAACTCAATGGAAAGATGGTTGAAGTCAAAAGGGCGGTACCGAAAGAACTTTCCCCTGGTCCTACCCGAAGCCCATTGATAGGAGGATATAACTATAGTTTGAATAGTAGGGCAAGTAGCTACCTAAACAATTATGGTCAAGGTTATAGTATGAGTCCAATAGGAGGATATGGAGTCAGAATGGATAGTAGGTTTAGTCCGCTTACTGGCGGTAGAACTGGTTTTACCCCTTTCGGCAATACCGGTTATGGAATGGGGATTAATTTGGATTCTGGATTGAGCCCAAACTTTGGAGGGAACTCCAATTTCGGGAACAATTTAGGGTACGGTCGAATATTTAGTCCTTTCTATAGCGGCAACTCAAGCAGATATGCTACTCCGATAGGCTATAATGGGGGTAACGGAAGAGGTGATTCTCTTATGAACTCGACTTCTCGCAATGTCTGGGGAAATGGAGGACTGAGCAGTGCTAATAACCCCGTTAGCCCCGGTGCGTTCTTGGGATCTGGAAGTGGGGCTTTTGGTGTTTCAATTGGAAACAGTGGCACAAACTGGGGTCCATCCATTCCAGCTCAGGGTGGAGGGGCTGCTTCCGGCTACGCTACCGGAAATAATGTTTATGAAGGCGGAGATAACAGCTTTGGATTAGGTGCTGCAGGGTATGGAAGAAACAGCAATGCAGTTGTTAATCCATCCTCTACGTTTAATGCATCAGCTGGTGGTTATGACGGATCGTATGGAGACTTATACCGCAGTGGCAGCGGTTCGGTTTACAATGACAATGCTTGGAGATCTGCCGCTTCTGAGATAGACGGTTCTGGCTCGTTCAGTTACGGTCTTGGTAGTATTGCATCAGACGATCCTGTGAAGACTTCTGAGGGCTATATCGGAAGCTACAATGTTGCAAGTAGACAACCTAATAGAGGTTAGATCTTTGGCCACATATCAGATTTTTGTTTATAAAGTTTTGGTGTTGGTTTCTATCGGTTTCAGAAGATGAACTATTCTTAATGAGTTTGAAACGAAAATCTGTATTTACTAATTTTCTTTTTACATTTGATTTTAAGATCTGCATATCTCGAACTGTGATATATTGATAAATGCAGATTTGTAGCTTCGTTAATGTCTTAATTAGCTATGTAGCCTCAAACACTTCAGATTGAAGGCGTGTCTGATTACATTCAATCACTTGCATTTTCTTAAATTACTGTCGGTGTTTATGTGTCCGTGTCTATGTCAATGTCATATCGAGTGTCCATATGAACTAAGAATATCATAGTATAACAAGATACTGAAATACAAATTAAATCGTAATTTTATGGCATGTTACTCACTTTCTTTTTATGAAATTCGCGTGTTTCAGGAATCGCTGCTTAGGAGAAATGTAATTTGGATATGTAATGGTAGCGGTAGATCAAAGGAAACTGGTTACAAGTAAATGAGGTATTGTGAAATCATACATCTCCGTCTCTTCGAGAGAGATATATAAGCTCACAAAGAAATTTGTCATATAATAGCTAACGGTGTTCTTTCATTCGAAGTATACATATTCAAAAAAACAAAGCAGTTACAAAGTGATTTTGTGTAAGGCGTGTTTTTTTTTTTCCGGGTCGTTTTTATCAGTTTTCAGGATTTAGGTTCGTTTTCATGGAAGTTGTTGATTGAGGTGTAAAATCATATCGCGGGATATATACTAAATTATTCCATGATAGTGTAATAGTGCTGCATCTCAGGCGAGGCGCGTGTTGCGTCGTTGTTTAGTTTGTTTATTGATGATGATAGAGTAATTGTTAAATTTTGAAGTTGTTGTTTCTTGTAGCCCAAGGTATTTGTTTGTAACTTTGGTCAAAATTGTAAGTGAGGTTCAGTTTGATTTTATAATATCATCAAGTGTGAAAAACATGAGTGGGAATCCTATATAAGGTCCCTATCAAATAATCAAGTTTCTGAACACTTTTATTGGTTTTTGTTACACTTTTTCTATACAGCTTTTACAATACTAATGTTTCTGTCTTGATTTTTAATATTAGTCAATTCTTGCTTCTTTTGTGTTTGAATGTTGAAACTGTTTCTTGAAAGTAACATTGTGAGATGTTGATGAATTTTATAGAACTAAGTTGATTGGTTGAAACTTGAAACTTAGTGCTAAGGGTTTGACTCAATAAAAACTTTAGGTTTAAACTAAAAACGGCTTACACAGACATGACACAACTAGTAGTAACGGTACATGCGTTAGACATCTAACATATCTTTAATTTCGAAATGTCGTTATTAAACTTTAAGATTAAAATGTCGGTATTAAACTTTAAGATTAAATTAAGAATGGTGGAACTGACTCTGACATGACATAAATAAGAGTAACTACATAAATCGGAAATGTGTTAGGTGTTTAAAACACCTTTAATTTTAAATGATATGTCGGTAATAACGTTAGGCTTAAACTTAGAATGATGGACACAACTCATCTTAAACATGATACAACTAGTAGTAACTACATAAATCGGTACATGTGTTAGACATCTAACACACATTTAATTTGAAATGTCAACACTAAACTTTAGGTTTAAACTAAGAATGGTGGACACGACTCGACTACACGACACTAGTAGTAATTGCATTAATTGATACACGTGTTAGACATCTAACACACTAGTAGTAATTACATTCATCGGTACGTATCATCGATATATTTCACACACCTTTAATTTAAAATGTTAGCATTAACATCTCACACACATTTAATTTGAAATGTCAGCATTAAACTTTAGATTTAAATTAAAATGGCGGACACGATCTATCTAATACACTAAAAATGACATACCCGACCAACACAATTAACCGTAACTATATAAATGTGTATGTGTTAGACATCTAATTACATAAATAGGTATATCCAATACTTTTAATATGAAATGTCTTACTACAAAATGAAGTTTAAAAAATGTTTTTATTTTTGTGATATTTATTTTAGTTTCTACAAAAATATATTTTATTTTAGTCTCTTGTATTTATTTTTGAGTCCTTGTTAATATGCTTTACTTTTAAGTCCTTATAGTATCTCTATTATTTTCATTTGAGCTTTTATTGCCAAATATTATATGGACTAAAAGGATAGGTGTGATACTCTATACATTTATCTCTATCTTATATTTTATTGATACTCTATATATTTATCTCTATCTTATATTTTATTGATACTGCAAATTTATCTTTATCTTTAATTTTATTAATACTGTATATATTTATCTCTATCTTATATTATTTTTTTCATTTAAGCTATCTTATATTTTATTGGCTAGAATTTACACACATTTCAAAAATATATACAAAATCCGTGACATCATATTTGACATTTTAAATATCATTTCATTTTTCTATATACATATCTATTCTATTTGTTGTTAAATATTGTTCGAATATGTTTTTATTTTAATTTTAAAATAGTAGGAATTTTTAAAAACTCGTTTTTATAAAATAAATGTGTAATTTTGATATCGGAAATATAATATAATAAAAATTACATAAAATTTCAAAAATTATTTTTAAAATATAAGGTTATTATTAATGGCAAGTTTTATGGTTTTATTTCTTTTGCAAAATCGAAGGCAAGTTGCATGGTTATTTATCGTTGTGCATGTTACTTTCATGCGATTCCATCCTTCTAATAAGATTTCAGATTTGGATCTTCAAAAATGAACAAATTTACGTGTGGCTATGATTTTATCTTATCTTTAAATGGATTACAATTTGTCTTTCGCTTTTATCTTCTCATGAATTTTGGACATTATCGTCACACTATCACATAACGATTTTGTACAAAATTGGTTTTATTATTTCACAGATTTTATTTCTTTTAAAGGAGTTGGACCTTTGTTATCTTGTCTGTGACATGAATGATATCTCGAATGTTTCTGTTGTCACATTGAGCTCAAATATAAATTTACAGTTTCATTGTTTTCTGGTAAAATGATTTTTCAAAGTAATGTTTCGTAATTTTTTCGAAAGAGGTTTAAGAATATGTTTGATGGTAAATAAAAATATCATATTTAATACAACAAAATAGGAAGACGAATTTCGTGAGTCAAGTAAAATAGAATGACAAAATAAAATATATCAATTTAATAAACACATTCATATTACAAATATATTAAAAATCATAAACTTTTAGCATTCAATTTGAATAAAATTTATTGGTTAATACCTAAAAAACCTTTTACGATTCATATCAAGTTAGAAAAATATATAAATGGTGTAAAGTATAATCTAAAAGGTGAGATATCTCTCTCTTTAAATAAATAAAATTGATCTCTTAAATTTGATTTAGAAGGTTTTTATAATTAATAAAAACTATAATTATATTTAAAAAGATATATGCATTGTAAGAGTTATGCTAGATAATTTATAAATAAAATAAAAATAGTGTGACATATATTGAGTTGGATAAAAATAAGAGTTGGGTTGGATTGGGTGAGTAGGTTCGCGGGTTGGCCCGTACCCATGAACACCCATATATGTACTCCTTCCGTCCCAAAATAAGTGTCGCATTTAAAAAGGTTATTTGTCTCAAAATACTTGCCACTTTATATTACCAATGCAATTTTAATTTTAATCTTCTAATTGTATCCTCTAATTAATATTCTTAATTTATTGTTTTTTTATTATACATTAATGCTAATTCGAATGTACTAATAGTTGATAAGGATAACTTAGTAAAATCACTAATTTCTCTCTTTCATTATTGCATTTTCTTAATCAGTGTGGAAGTGTAAAGAATGTCACTTATTTTGAGAAAGAGATAGTATCTCTTACACCATATGATTACTTAAGGAATAAGTAACTACTATAACCACTTTTCTAATTACTTCTTAATTAAATCGAAGTTAGTTATTATTATGCAATTAACTATTACAACTATAATGACATGTAGCTTTAGTCTTTGACATGCTTCAAGGTGTTATCAACTTCTTCTTCCATATGCTTCAATATATTGGATGTTGATACATGTCTATCTTCTTCAACTTAATTAAAAGTTCATTGATTTGTTGGAGATGTAAGGCTTTGGTGAAGAAATCGGCCAACCGATCCTTTGATTTGATAGAAAGGAGTTTTACGATTCCTTTGCTTTGCTTCTCTCTCACAATATGACAATTTATTTCTAAGTGTTTTGTTCTCTCATGAAAAACAAGATTTACTACAATATGTAGACCACTTTGATTGTCACAGTAAATCACATGATTTCTTGTGCATTTTACTTGAAGATCATTCATGAGGTAAAAGCCCATTGCAATTCACAAGTGGCTTATGCAAGAGCTCGATATCTGGCTTATTATGATGACCTTGAAATTGTCAATCGCTTCTTGGTTATCCATGAAATAAGTGACTTGCCAAGAAAGAAACGTTAACCTAAGATGAACCTTCGAGTGTTAATGAATTTTGGCCAGTCTACATATGAATAACCATTCAATTGTACAACTAAATTTCTAGGGAACAATATGCCTTGACCTGGGCATGTTTGACATATTTGAGAACTCGGCATGTTGTATTGAAGTGAGTTGTAGTAGGGGCAGATAAAAATTCTTTAAACTGTTGTGTGCAAAAAAAAGTGATGCCAGGCTGTATTGCATTTAACTACAATAATCCACCCATAATTCTTTTATATGTAAGTATGTATGGATAAAGAATATTGGAATCTTAATGGAGCTTAATTGCAGAATCATAAGGGGTTAAAATTATTTTAGATCCATTAAAACCCGAGTCTTCCAATAGGTCAAGGAAACACTTTCTTTGGCATAATAGAATTCCATCCTCTGAACGTGCTACCTCAATGCGTATAAAATATTTAAGTTTACCTAAATCCTTGATTTTGAATGTGTTTTTCAAGGCTACTTTGGTTGGTCTGAGTTCATTCAAAACATTTCCTATCAAAATGACATCATTCACGTACACCAATAAAATGGTAAAGGAGGAAGAATTAGTCTTGACAAATAGGGAATGATCTGAACCAGCTTGTTTGCAATGATGTTCAATAATAAACTTGGTAAGCCTTTCATAGTATCATCGACTAACTTGTTTAAGCCAATAAAGGGATATGACAAGCTTAAAATTTTTGCTACGTTTGGTGGTACGAACACCAGGTGGCACCATTATATATACACCCTCTTGGAGTTCACCATGTAAGAAGGCATTATTTACATCCAATTGATGTATATGCCAATTGTTTAAGGATGTTAAGTCTATTACAATTGATAGTTGTGAGCTTTGCAATAGGTGAATAAGTGTCAAAATAATCAAGTCCTTCAATCTAATTATACCCTTTAGCTCAGGTCTGACTTTTAATCTTTCAATGGAGCTATCTGCCAAGTATTTGATCTTATAAA